AACAATAAATTGTTCTATGTATATATTTAGTATTATTGTCTGTCATATTTAATGATGCTTGCATATATATAAACAATTTATTTCCAGTTAATACAAGGTAACCAAAAAAGTTCTGTCCGTTTTTAAATGACAAAAAGAAAACGCTTGACAGTCTGTGTAACTTATATTTAGTCTTCGAAGTAATCGCCATCGGCTTCTAGCAAGTCTGCTTCATTGGTGAAGGATTTCCCACGAAGATGATTATCCAGGGAGTAGAAGAGGTGGTAATCGGATGGCGCAAGGTCAGGTGAATAAGGTGTATGGCACAAAGTCTTCCACCCAAGTTGCTGTATGGCATCCCTGAACACTCGCGCGACATGCGGCCTGGCGTTGTCATGGAGGAAAGGCACACTTTTGCGATTCACCAGTGCTGGATCCTTCTGGCGCAATGCCTGTTGCACACGTTTCAATTGCTGCGAGTATAGGTCTCCAGTGACCGTTTGGCCCGTTGGTAGCAGTTCATAATGAACCACTTGACGACCTGTCCACCAGATACAAAGCATAATCTTGCGTGGGTGCATAGGCGGTCTTGCGGTGTGAGGGACAGCATCCTGAGGAGACAGCCAATGTCTGGAACGCTTGAGAGTTTCGTACAGAACCCACTTTTCATCACTGGTAAGCACTCGATTGAAAAAGGATGCGGTACGGTGGCGAGAAAGCAGCGATACACAGGCTGCCACTTGTTGTTCCTTGTGAACCTCCAACAGCGTTTGCGTAACCCACTTGCTCAGTTTGTACGTCTTACCTAGGCGGTGCAGGTGAAGTCTAACTGTTTCATCTGAAACGTTGAACTGTCTTGCAAGTTCACCACACGTTAGACTACTGTCCTCTTCAATGGCCGCCTTCAGGACTCCGTCATTCAAGACCTGTGGTCGTCCACTGCGAGGCTCATCATGGAGAGACAAATTTCCCGACTTGAATTTTCGAAATCAACGACTTGCAGTACGTTCATCCACAGCACTATCCCCAAACGCTTGACATATGCGGCGACTTGATGCAGCTGCTGATAAGCCCAGTTTGAAGTCGTAAAGCAAACAGCCCCGAATGAGATCTCTAAACATTTCCATCCTTCTCACATCTGTCCGGCTTATAACTGATGGCTGGGCACAGTGCGCGTGTTTTTTTATAACGCCTGATGTTCCTACTTCCGGCTGTACGAATTTGAAAACAATTGCTACACGCATTTCGTATATATTTCAACTTCATTCAATGACTAATCAAAAAACGGACAGAACTTTTTTGGTTACCTTGTAGTTAATATGATTTATTCCATACTTGAAAACGGCTAAATGTATAGCCGAAAGCGATCGGAAAAATAAAAGATTTGGATAGTCTTTGTATAATTTATAAGATCCTATGAGAAATTATATAAAAAACTTAATCAAAGCACCTTCTCTGTCATATTTTATGAAGCTTGCATAAAAGAAGGATTGCTGCCTAAATACACAATATATATATATATATATATATATATATATATATATATATATATATATATATATATATTCGTTTAAACGTTATTTTTAATGTATATTCATATTTGAGTAAAGGCTCTGTTTTTATTAAACAGTATATTTATTTATTTCTATCAACTGGCCTGAATATTCGAGAAATCTTGTAAGAAAAATATGCTTCTTCTGACAGGATTCGAGCCTGTGTCTCCCTAGCAGACGCAGTTTCGAATCCTACCGGAGGGCGCATATCTTTCTAACAACATTAGATTTTTTTGGCTTGTACATCCTTCCACTTGTCTCAGGAGACCTTACGGTCGAAACCCCGGTTGCGAGTTTAGTGGCATTTTAGCCTTTTCGTAAATGCCTTTTCGTAAATATCTTAACTCTACATTCGATTTTTGTATTGAGCACTTTTTTGTTGTCTATACCTTCAGGCGCAGCTGTCTTCCTTTTATATTTCTATACGTATATATATATATATATATATATATATATATATATATATATATATATATATATATATATATGTCATCCACAGACAGCTCATCAGTGTGGCTAGACGTCCGGTTGCCTCTAGCTAGGGTCGAAACCTGGCTGAATTAGCGTCAGTAGGAGATTTTACCCTTTAGCCGTTGGCTTAGGGGAAAAATCTCCGCACGGTAGTGATGAATGTGAATTTAAACGTATTTATTTTTTGATAAACACACAGTGACTGAGAGAACTCGATTCGATTTACTGAAGAGTCTAGCATTATTAGCCGTAATAGTCACTGTTTACAAACCCACACTTCCTCCCCAGAGAGCTCAACCGAAATACATTTTTCAGGAGCATATTATAATATTTTTGTTATGATAGATTACAATAAAAACATTTTACAGCGCTACACAAAAACTTTCATGTTTCGGAACTTTAATCTTTGAAAGTTAAAAAGGTGGAGGAAGCTTAATGTCTGAATTAAAACATATACTTGTGGGCATGTCTGGATTAACCAATTAAAATTCAGATCTATGCTAAAATAGAAAAATAAGGTCAGAGGGTGGAGGGAGGTTAGTTATAAGTTTTGATAAATTGACACTCTAGACATGTCAGTGTCGAACATAATGTAGTGAAATCCAAAGTTCAGATTTGGTGAAGTAGATATAGAGTAAACTTGAACAAGAAACAATATTTTTAAAAATATTTCTCAAAGGGACCAAATAAATAAAGTTAAAAGAAATTTTTGGTGGAACTTTAATATACGATGCTAATTATATTGAATGGGCAGTAAAAACAGAGCAATATTAAAGTTGAAAAGATCGGATAAAAATTGAGTGGACCATTATATACTTAAAAAATAATGGCTATGTAATTGCAATGCATAAATTATTTATGGAGAATTCTTTTAACTATATTTTAATGCAAAATTTAGACAATGCCTACATAAAACATTTAATTCATTTCTTTGGTTTAGCAGAACTTTATAATATGCAGCTTTTCTTGTAAACACAGGGAACATGGGTCATATAAGGATTTACAAATTCTCGTTTTCTATTTTGCTTTACGTTTGTATTGAACACTTTTTAAAAATGATATGTTAAGAACTGTGGTTTCTAACTCCATCTGTTCTTTCTCTTTCTTAAGATATAGTCGAGTTCGACGTATGAGGGTCAAGCAGATCAGTTCCCAGGAAACCGACAGCCCGACAACAGCACATGAGATTTGATTATAGTGGTGAAGGTTTCGTGTAGGACCATCCACACTTTTTGAAGGGCTGAATTCAGAGACCTGGTGCACTAAGCGCCACAAGGTCCCCAAACGACGCTCCGCAGGTTTTGAATTCAGAGTTGTCCTTCTCCTAGACCAGTTGCCATCCAAGGCTATAGAACCCAATCTGTCCTGCTATTTACCCATAGCTGGAGGGAGAAGAGGATTCACACCTTTCCCAAATATATATATATATATGTGTGTGTGTGTGTGTGTGTGTGTGTGTGTGTGTGTGTGTGTGTGTGTGTGTGTGTGTGTGTGTGTGTGTGTATCTACTGTGTACTTACTGTAATGTGATTATTAACAAAGATTCTTTAATTAAATCATTGAAACTGAAAGTGAGTTTAATCTTAACGGGACGCAATAGTAGACCTCATGATCGCTGAATTAAACATGTACAATTACAAATCAATGCAACAATATTTTTAAAAAAGTGTAATACAGTGGAACTGTAGTGAGTGTGAAATAATAATGGCTCTCTTCGCCTATTTCCTTCAAATTCTGAGGACTGAAGAAGAACAAGAACAAGCAGAACAAGAAGAAAGGAATTCGAGAGCCTATGTGAAATTTTCTTTGGACCAATGAAAACCTTGCTTTCAAACAAATTGACCAGTGAACTGAGAAGAAGGAGGGGGAAAGGAATTTACAAGCCTATATGAAAGTGTTTTTGAACCAATAAAAGACTTGCCGTCACAGAATTTAGCCAGTCAGGCGAGAAGAAAAGAAAGTAGCGTGAATACGCGAAATTCTTTTTAATATAAAATGAAGAGAAAAATTAAATGAATAAGAAAAGAATGTCAAAATAAATATTTCCCTAGGTGCATGGACACACGCGCACACACGAACACAGAGAATACAGAAGAAAACTTTCATCTGTGTTGAATATAAAAAAAAAAAGAAAAAATTGAAAAAGTATAAGCAGTAAATTGCTGATATCCGCTGAAGAGTGGGCCGACAGGTCTGCCTAGGAAACTCTGGAGTCGGGATGCTGAAGGTCACATCAATCATTTATGTGACAAATTTTCCTCACATTAATCCGATATATATGTGTGTATGTCATGTTGTGTGTACGCCCTCCGCCATTCTATGTATGTGTGTTTGTGTGTGTGTGTTGTGTGCGTGTGTATATGTATCCATGTGTGTGTGTGTGCATGTGTGTGTGCATGTGTGTGTGTTGTGTGCGTGTGTATATGTATCCGTGTGTGTGTGTGCATGTGTGTGTGCATGTGTGTGTGTTGTGTGCGTGTGTATATGTATCCGTGTGTTTGTGTGTGTGTGTACGTGTGTGTGTGTGTTGTGTGCGTGTGTATATGTATCCGTGCGTGTGTGTGTGCGTGCGTGTGTGTGTGTTGTGTCCGTGTGTATATGTATCCGTGTGTTTGTGTGTGTGCGTGCGTGTGTGCGTGTGTTGTGTCCGTGTGTATATGTATCCGTGTGTGTGTGTGTGCGTGCGTGTGTGTGTGTCGTGTGCGTGTGTATATGTATCTGTGTGCGTGCGTGCGCGTATGTGTGTGTATGTTGTGTGCATGTGTATATGTATCTGTGTGTGTGTGTGTGTGCGTGCGTGCGTGTGTGTGTGTTGTGTGCGTGTGTATATGTATCCGTGGGTGTGTGTGCGTAATATGTCTGTCGAAGTGACAACTCGTCAGGTCAAGCAAGGAAATCACTTGCTGAGTCGAGTGATTTTGAACCACCCGAAATACGTTTCGGCTTTAAATAACCAACAAAGGGTTGGTAACCCGTAAAAAAATCTGGTTACCGAGCTTACGGCCATATCGGTTGTGAATACCGATTACCGAAGTTAAGCAACGTTGAGCCTGGTCAGTACCTAGATGGGTGACCGCTTGGGAATACCAAGTGCAGTTAAGCCCTAACCAACACGCATCGGGCCAATATGGTTGAGTAATGGCCTATGAACGGCGAAGCGGGAAAATCTAGGGAAGGCCTACGATCGACTTGAACAGGTTGATTGAGATAAGATGACAACTTTGAATTCACGATAAAGTTCCGCTTAAAAATGTGTCTACTTCACTTCTCTATTTTTCTTTTCGCCATAAGTTGTCATATCAGCTTAGCCCGCGCTACTGGGTGGGGCTTTTAAACGGCCAGATGAAATGGGTGCAGGAAGAAGAAGAAGGGACATTTTCTGATTATCTTGGTTAGTGTGTCACTTTTTCTCATAAATGTTTCAAGTTTCAGAAAATGGTGATTGAAGATTTCAACGTGGAACTGACGTCAGCAATAGAACGATTTCGAAAAGAAAGAAAAATCTGAAAGTTTTAAAATAAAAAGGAGGCTTGCTTGCTGCTTATTTCTCTTACTTTGGGTGGAATAAGGACTTTTGGATAAAAATAAACGGCTGATAACAATAAATATTAAAAAATGGTACGATTTACATAATTGTTATCATTATTAGTAGTAGCATTAATAGTAGCAGTTAAAGAAGTACGGTGGAGTAATGGATAGCGGCTCGGATTGAACTGAGTTCGAATTCCAGCCGGATCCATTACATTCACTTACATACTAAGCAAAGGTATGAATTCAACCCCCGCCCCCCATCTATAGGTAATTAGGAGGACAGGCTGGGTTCTATAGGCTTGGTTGGCAACCGGTCTAGGAGAAGACAAACCGGTCTGGAGAGATTTGAGCTCTGTCAGTCTTCTTTCCTAAGAAACACCACTTCTAGATGTGGTGTCCCTACGAGACCTAATATAGGAATCTGAGAGTTTGAATTTCAGTCGTATCCATTACATTCACTTATGTGCTAATACCCTTGGGAAAGGTATGAATCCAACTATTCTCTCCCCGCACCCATCTATAGGTAATTATGAGAACAGGCTGGGTTCTATAGCCTTGGGTGGCAACCTGCATCAGAGAAAGAAAACTCTGAATTCAAAACTCTATGTAGCCCTGGCGAAGCTCGTATTATGCAGCTAAGGAAAGGATCGTTTCATTGACTTGATCCCGACTATTGTCGACTCCTTAACAAACTGGGTACTATAGCCTTGGGTGGAAACCGGTCTAGGAGAAGACAAACCGGCCCGGAGAGTTTTGAGGTCTGTCAGGCTATCTTTCCCAAGAAACACCACTTCTACAGTACATGTAGTGTCCCTACGACTCTAATATAGGAATTGGAGAGCCGAGTTCGAATGCAAGTCAGATTACATTCACTTACGTGCTAATAACCTTAGGAATGGTATGAATCTTCATCTTCCCCCTACTTATAGGTAAATAGCAGGACTGACGGGGTTCTATAACCTTGGATGGCAACTGGTCTAGGAGAACAACAACTCTGAATTCGAAACCTGCGGAAGGTCATTTCACCACTATAAGCAAAGCATATGTACAGGCGTCTGGCTGTCGGTTCCCACTGAATTGCTTCATACGTCGGAAAAATAGAGTCCAGTGTAATAGTAGCGGTAATAATGTGGAGGACACTTAGTGAGGATCACTTTGGGTTAGGGATTTTTTAGATAACAATACCCGACGTATAGCATTAAGTAAGAAATATCCAAATTTACATAATTCTATTATAACTGTTCTTGTCCCCAACTTCGTTAGTTCACTCGACCGTTACGTCCTGCCAATACCTCATAAATAATGGATTATTCCGCGTTGTGATAGCACGGAAAGAGGGGAAAAGACATTACTTGATTCCAGTGAAAAAATGAAAGAAAGAATGTATGATTGAAGTGTAGAAAGAGAAAATGAGATTAATCTAATATAAACAGATACGACACTTTGATCTCAGCCAAAAGACTGAGAAGTAAGGGAAACCGTGATAAAAGAACCATTTTTCGGACAGAAAGTATTGAACGACGGAAACCGAGTATGGCAATTGTCAAAAATCCATAAATTAAATAAAATAACATTTGCTGAATTATTTTTGAATTATGATTCAGAGAAATCTTCGTCAGATTGAGATTTGGATAGAAAAAAAAAAAAAAAAAGAAGTAAGGGAAGATAAGTGTTTAAGGTCTCTTGCTAATACCTCATGAATAATAGATAATTCCTTTTTGAGTGCGTGGAAAGAGGGGACAAGACACTATTCTGTTTTAGTGAAAAAATGAAAAAAAGAAAGAAAGAAAGAAAGAAAGAAAGAAAGAAAGAAAGAAAGAAAGAAAGAAGGGAAAATAGAAATGTTTAACGGCTGTTTCAGAGAAATGAAAAAAGTCAATTTCAAATCTCTTCATTTGTATCCCCTTACTTCTTAAAATAACAATATCAGCAGTCATATATATGATTGTCACTGCAATATTTTGTTAACGTTGTTAATGACGCCATAGGAGAATTTCTAAGGATATTTTATTGCCGTAAAATTCGCCATGAATTTATTCAATTATTACGTTAACAATTCAATTCAAATAGGAAAACCGTCAAATTTTCACGGGTCTTTCTAGTTATTATTATTAGTAGTAGTAGTAGTAGTACTGATATTATTATTATTAGTAGTAGTAGTACTGATATTATTATTATTAGTAGTAGTAGTAGTACTGATATTATTATTATTATTAGTAGTAGTAGTAGTAGTAGCAGTAGTAGTAGTACTGGTATTATTATTAGTAGTAGTAGTAGTAGTAGCAGTACATCTTATCATCGGTTTGTCATTCCTCCTCCTCCACCTCCTTCTTCTTCTTCTTCTTTCCTCCTACTGTTTCTTCTTCTGCCTTTTTATTTCTCTTCTTCCTATCATTGATTTGTCATTCCCGCTACTTCTTTTTCTTTATCTTCTTCTTCTTCTTCTTCTTCTTCTTCTTCTTCTTCTTCTTCTTCTCACCCGCTTTTTCACTCGCCCTATTTCTTCTTCCCCTCCTCCTACCATCTTTTGTACTAAAATTCAACTAATCGAAATTTCAGGTGAAATTTCTAGGACACATAATGAGAAAAGCGAGCTAAAAGAATTTAACACTCACAGAATATATTGAAGGCGAAGTGAGAGAGAGAAGGAAACAACGAATAACAAGTTTGAGTAAATGGATGGCAGAATACGAAGTGGAAGAGATAGCAAAAACACAAAGCTTACTAAGAGCTACAAAGCATTGAAAGCTGTGGAGTGCCATGATCCTCAACCTCCTGAAGGGACACGACACATAAAAGAAGAAATATTTGATTGTGCTAATACCGTTAATGTACACGGTCAAATCAAATTTGCACAGTTCTCTGTGTATGACCTAACCCTACCTTGTTTTTGCATTTCTTTTGTGCCAACTAAGTGCTTTCATTTAATAGTTTTAGATTGTCATCTCTTATCTCCAACAAAACGATATTTGTCTTTTTTATTATTATCATTATTATTATTATTATTATTATTTTGCTTTGGGCTGCAATGATAAAAGATCCTGTAACTCCTTTTAGCTGTAAACTCTATAACCACGTTATTGACTCTTCTTCTTGAAATTGTAACATTATAATTGTCTTTTTTAAAAATCTATTTGATTATAACATAACAAAGGATATATGTTACATTTTCGATTGTACAATTGAAGGCGTTCTCTTTCCGAGAGATTAAATGTGTCTTTCATGGGGAGAAAGCCAACGAGTTCACCTACTTTTCATTACTAATTGAAATGTGTTCTTGATCGACGCATTCAGAAAACGTCTAATTGTTTTCTTGGAGAATTGTTACTAACGCTAAATGGATTTTACTTAAAAGTGCCTTATCGATATTTGAAATCTTCCATGTGTGTTAGATTTCATCGCATTTTTCATTTCATTACTTTGACCTGAGTCAACGCCTACGAAAAACTTGTTTTGTTTGCCTTCAAAAATTGCAATTGATTTTTGAAACATTTTTTTCGGATCCAATGCTTATTTATTTGCCAATTTTCAAAGACACACTTCCAAAAATATTAATAACGTAATTTTATAAAGAAAATCTAGAGCAGTTCTTTTTTCTTTTTTTTTTTTTGTCTCCTTCCAATTATCTGTTTGTCAATCCTACTTCTTCTTCTTCTTGTTCATCTTTTTTCTCATCTTCCTATCATCGGCTTGTCACTCCTCCTACTGTTTCTTCTTCCTCTTTATTTCTCTTCTTCCTATTATCGGTTTGTCATTCCTTCTATTTCTTCTTCTCCTTCGTCTTTATTTATCTTCTCCCTATCATCGATTTGTTACTCCTTCCATTTCTTCTTTTTCTCCTTCTTCTTTGTATATCTTCTTCCTATCTTCAGTTTGTCACTTGTTCAACTTCTTTTCTTCTTCTTGTTTATTTCTCTTCTTTTTTTCCATCCGTTTGTCACTTCTTCTTCTTCTTCTTCTTCTTCTTCTTCTTCTTCTTCTTCTTCTTCTTCTCTTCCTACCCTCTTCTGTACTAAAATTCATCTAATACAAAGCTAGAGAGCCTCTCAAGGTAGAGGGTTATTATCAAAATGGTAATAATTAATGAAATGTGTAATATAAATGAAGAAGGTGGCTGTAGTAAGTTAAGATTATGGTGAGGAGTGTAGATATCGATTGGCCCTTTACATTATGTGATAAAACTCAGATTGCTCGGAGAAGCACTCACACAGGAGCTTCTTCTACAAAGTTGCAGTTCTTGGAAAAAGAAGAATAAAATTTTCTTCTTTCCTTTGGAACACGGAGAAAATAAGGGTGATTCGTCTACCCCCCAGTTATGGGTTAATTATTGTTAGTAATTGAAAACAGTGGAAAACGCAACGGAAAACTACTCCACTATCTTTCTTAAGAAGTCATGGCAGTTCCCAGATAATAAAGAAATGAAATATGTGGAGAAGCAATTAGAAAACACTCCACTATTTCCCCCAAGAAATCATTGCAGTTTACAGATGAACAAGAAAAGTAATCTGTGAGCCTCCATTATTGCCTACGTCCTGAGGAGACGAGGTATTAAAATACACCCCTTTAAATAATAGATAAAACCTTAAGTAAAAGAAAAGATTAAAGCATTTTCAGGTACAATAATAATCATAATAATCTAATTCTAATAAGGCAATTTAAGAAATCGATTTTGTTTTAACACGAAAATACTTGCAAGAAATTAACAAGTCTTATGCTGTCTCAATACTTAAAATTCGTATGAAAATTGTTCGACAGATGTTTTTGCAGATGGTGTATTTTCCGGTGGAAATCGTATTGTTAGCAAAAATCCAATCTCTGATTCCTCGATGTACGTAACTTTTACGAAAATAAACTTAAATTTAAAATGTTAATCGGTGTAAAAGCGTTAGGCAGTTCTGTTGTTACTAGTATGCGTCGTGGGGTGGGGGTGAGATTGTAAACATAGGTGAAGAAAGTTATAGGTTGGGGAGAGGGAAAGACGTCTCGCGTGTCGCAAAGTATAGCCAAATATTAAGTCCCCGTGTTAGAACAGTCCCAACCTATGACAAATAATATTGTTTTGACTTATGCTGTTTGCCTCGTACCTAAGGCGTCGTGGTTCAGTTCCTGATTGTACGCCATATTGGATTGTTCTGCTCTTTTTCGTTTTTGTTGTGTTTGTGGAAACTTATCGCCCTTCATTATGTTGCCCAAGTGAAGTGATATCTCTTCTAATACCGCCATTAGAAGAGATATCACTTCACTTTTAAAGAAAAGGAAATCCATCAACAGGGAAGTGAATGTAGACAATGTTAAACACACTGAAAAGAGAAAAACAGTGGTGAACATTGACTAGTTGATTGGCTTAAGTTGTTCGAATGTCGCTTAAAACATGTACATGAGGCATGAGCGAGAGAGAGAGAGATAGTTTCCCTGTAAGAGATAAGGATATTTTCATGCAATACTACAAGTTGATGAAGTCACGAGAAAAAAGAACAAATTCATATTTGTTTTAACTTTCTTTAGCTTTCCTTAACATTTCCTTCATCATATGCTTTGTCCATCCTTCCGTATAACAATATCTGTTGCCTTGCCACAAGTCGCTCTTCATCAGTGAAGAAATCGTCTAAAATTCATTATTATACAGGAGGATCAATATTATATGGCAGTTCAGCATTCTTCTTGGTTTTTAACAAAATTTTCTTGTTTCTTAATACTTTCCTTTGGGACGTATTTTTTTTGACTATTTTAATTTTTGACTATTTAATTTTTGACTATTTTAATGAGCCTTCAAATTTCTTTTATCACTATATTCTCTATTATCTGTTAAAATACTTCCCATATACACTGTAACCCGGATATAAGAGAGTTGTCGGGACCGGAGAAGTCTCTTATATCCGGGTTTCTCTTATATCCGGGTTTGGTCTATTTTATATACATTAACACAGGCTCTAATTTGGGACCATAGAAAATTTCTCTTATATCCGGGTTTCTCTTATATCCGGGTCTCTTATATCCGGGTTACACTGTACTATGAAAATGCATTGGAAAGGGATTTTATGATGAAAATGCATTGGAAAGGGATTTTACAGTGTAACCCGGATATAAGAGAGTTGTCGGGACCAGATAAGAAGTCTCTTATATAAACGAGTTGTCCCCCCCCCCGGACGGGGCTCCGTGCATTGAGCGCCTCTTAGGACTTAAACTCAACCCAGACTTTAAATCCATCGCCTAAAGATTCTGAAAAACTCGTCGTTTCCCTGAACTATTTTAGTAAGTACTTGACTCAACCCGCTATCTTCTACCTTTACAAGAGCCAGATCAGGCCGAAAATGGAATAATGCTGACATATATGGACTGGAGCCGCCCGGGTTTCACTATCCTGCCTCGATAGAGTCTAAAAGCATCTCAGCATCCTTGTGAGTGATGAACTGTTTTATACCCTAAACCCCCCTTTTCCCACTGACGAAATGTTGCAAACACTCTTAACTCAGAAGATATTCCTTAGTTCCACCAGTTCTAACCTTCATGGCTAAGACCCGCCTTGCCTACGCATATTGTAGCGAACCAGCTTCATTCCCTTCGTATTCCGTTGGTGAGATGTAAGTTCCACTCGAGTAAATACTTCCTACGAACCGCTACTTTGTGAAATCTTCTCCCTAGAGAATACTTCCCTGATCACTATAATCTTAACCTGTTCAAATCAATGGTTAATCGCTATCTTCCTTAAATATCATCCTAAACTGTGCCTCTTAATCTATAACCCTCTAACACGAGTGACTCTTGGGCCTTGTACAGGGTGAATATTACTGTAAAAAATAACTGCAGATAAGCTCTCAAATTCAAAATATCAAGCGATAGCTAATATCAAAATCAACAATTACAATAAGCGTCTGGTTTGTTAGTTAGCCGCCATCTTGAAATTTATATCGTTTGCTATCAGTGAAAAATTAAAACAAAGACGTAAAAATGGCTTACAAGTAGTCGACTGCGTAGTTTACAAATGTCAATGGATTTTATTTAGTAAACAGATGCCCAAAATAGAACAAACTCTTTAAATGATAAGAAAACACGTTTCAGGTCAGTTTTTTTAAAATGGAATTAGAAATAACGCAAAAAATGATTTGAAGATGTTGAAAGTCTTGCCTTTTAGTGCCTAGGGCCATATCACGCTGAAACACCGGTTCTCGTAAGATAACGGAAGTTAACCAACGTCGAGCCTGGTCAGTAGTTACATGAATGACTGTTTTGGAATATCAGGTGCTGAAACACTGGTTCTCGTACGATCACCAAAGTTAAGAAACGTTGAGCTTGGTCAGTACCTACATGAATTACTGTTTTGGAATATCAGGTGATGTAAGCATAGATATGCGGGTGGTATAATGAGTTTAAGGCTATATCACGCTGAGATACTGATTCTCTTACGGTTAACAAAGTTAAGCAACGTCGAGTCTGGTCAGTACACTATGAGTGACCGCTTAGAAATACTAGGTACTGTAATCTTGGATGTGCGGGAGGTGTAATGGATAATGGCGTGCAATTAGATATCAGAGAGAGGAGTTTGAATTTCAGTTGGGTTCAATTCCGAGGAAATACCCTTGAGAAAGGCATGAATCTACCACTTACTTTAAACCCAACTATGGTATAATTAGTAAGACCTGTATGAATAAATCATTATTACATCCCCCCACATTCTTATAACCTAAAATATTTTCTGGCTGTAACGAACCTGCAAAAGGTTGATAAGCCTTAAAAAAACAAAACAAATCAATCAATAAGTTTGGCTTGTAGTGAAATGTAAAAAAATTCTTATATTTATCAGAAAGTTGTAGTCTGGTGGACTTCAGATATCATTTACGCCTTCACGCACACTAACGGACCTCTAATACACACACACACACACACACACACACATATATATATATATATATACACCTATATATTATATGTTATGGTAATTTACCCACGCACGAATTGAACTCTCGCAGCTATAAATAGGAGCAGGTACTGCCTTTTGGAGAGGGAAGTTTCCAGCAGTCAGCTCTGACAATCGGACCGAGCATTTTTGCTGTAACAATCTCGTTTGTGTATGTTTGTATTACAGTTTCTGTTAATATATTTGTTTAACTCAATTCCTCTCTTTGTGTCTTTCTCTCTGGCCACAACAATATATATACATACATATATATATATATATATATATATATGTGTGTGTGTGTGTGTGTGTGTGTGTGTGTGTGTGTGTGTGTGTGTGTGTGTGTATGTTTGCGTGTGTGTGTGCATATATATATATATCTGTAAATATATATATATATATATATATATGTATGGGTGTGTGTGAGTGTGTGTATGTGCGTGTGTGTGTCTGTGAATTTCATTAATCCTGTAATTTCCACCGTCCAATTTTTCAGGCAGTGAGAATTAGTGATTTTGAGGCAGGAGCGAATCATTCATACAGAATTTTTTTTTAATTAATTACTAATAAAATTTTTAATTAATATTGGATTTTTAGTAACCTGGAATGAATATTGATTTTCTTTAATTTTTTATTATTAATTCTGGATAATATGGCTTAATCAGACTGTTCGGTTGGGAAGGTGGAAGGCAAAACCAAAAATACAAATAGATAGATAGATAGATAGATAGATAGATAGATAGATAGATAGATAGAAAGAGAGAGATAGAGAGAGAGAGATTGATAAGTAACATATTGAGTAAAAGATAGATAGATAGATAGATAGATAGATAGAAAGAGAGAGATAGAGAGAGAGAGAGATTGATAAGTAACATATTGAGATAGATAGATAGATAGATAGATAGATAGATAGATAGATAGATAACATACTGAGATAGATAGATAGATAGATAGATAGATAGATAGATAGATAGATAGATAGATAGATAGATAGATAGATGAGGCATACAATAGACTCAGCACATAGCTACGTGTGTTAAGCATCGAAATATTTGTGTTATTGAGAGGAAAAAAATCTAGGATTACGCCAAGATGAAGCATAAAGACGCCGAAATGGCAAGTAAATCTCCTGCCAATGTTTTCAGCATCCATTGACTTCCATTCTGGCGCCTCGTTTAGTTTGCCGCCATTCTTCCGTGTGGTCGTTTTTAGTTTTCATAAATGAAAAGACATGACTCAGAAAATGGCTACGCTGAACATTGCAATCAAATCTGAATCATAAGGTAAGAAGAAAAATACAGAAGAAAAAAGAAGTAAAAGAAGAAGAAAAAAATAAGAAAAGTAATAAGAGAAAAAGAACAAGAAAAAGAACAACAAGAAAAAGAAGAAAAACAACAATAAAAAGGAGGAGAAGAAGAAGGGAAGAGAAAAATGGACAAAAAAAGGAAAAACAAGAAAGAAACAAAAAAGAAAGAAAAAAATAGGGAAATCGTAAAAAAGAAGGAAAATTTTTAAAATTCAAAGAACAATATACAGAAAAAAATGAAACGAAGGAAGAATAAAGAAATAAAGAATTGCCGAAAGACATAAAAACGAAGAAAAATATGGAAAAAAAACAAGGAAGAAGTGAAATGGAAACAAAATAAGGAAGCAACAGAAAGAAAGAAGGAACGAAAGAAAGAAAGAAAGAAAGAAAGAAGGAACGAAAGAAAGAAAGAAAGAAAGAAAGAAAGAAATGTGTTAAAGGCGTGAAAAAAAAGAAAAATAACGAATAACAAGAAAGAAAAACAATGAGAAGGAAAACTTGATGAAAGAAAGAAATAAAGGAAGGAAGGAAGGAAGGAATAATAAAAAAAAACAATCCCAAAAATCAAAGTTGAACAGTGGCAGCCATAAAGAAAACGAAAAGAAATAGAAAAGATGAAAAGCCATAAGACCGTTGAACAAAGACAAAGAATAGAAAAAAAAAACTGAAAAAGGAAAAAAAAACAAAAAATGTTGGAATGATGAAGAAAAAATGCAAGAGAAACAACCACAACCGGAAAGAAGAAGAAAAACGCATCCAGAAGAAGAAACAAAGCCAGCAGAAGCAAAACAAAAAAAGAAGAAGAAGATGAAGTCGATGGTGATAATGAACATGCCAATATAGTTGTAGAAACAAGCCAAGAAACAAAATGAATAAAAGAAAGTCATACTGAACCCGAATCAAAAGACTCACGTGTCCAAGGTTCAAAACTTAAGATCAATTTTATAAACAACTTCATTGCTTTAACATGACTCACAGCTATTTCCTCTGATAAATTCAATATCCTTTCATTTCCTTCCATTCAGCGGATGGCTGACGATAGGGGCCGCCCTTCACAGAAGATCGGTGCTGAAATTAGCCGTGAAAGTAAGCGATGTAAGACTTATATCATCGGAGGTGTCTTTTAGAGAATGCCAATTTCTGCAAGCCATAATATGATGGCTGCCTTAGAGAAACAGCGGGTTGCATGTAGGAAGGGAGGCAGAAAAGTTATCGGGTGGGACTCAGAGAGGAGTTTTTAAAAAATTAAAAACAAGGAATACCAAAGCTAACGTTTGGCCATCTGGTCAGATTTTTGTAAATGAATCATACTGAGAAGTGTAGATAGATAGATAGATAGATAGATAGATAGATAGATAGATAGATAGATAGATAGATAGATATGATCAGTTTGGGATATCTATCTCTCTATCTATCTATCTATGTACACTTCTCAGTCTGTTCGTATCTATCTATCTATCTATCTATCTAGCTATCTATCTATCTATCTAGCTATCTATCTAGCTATGTTCGTATCTATCTCTGTTCGTATCTATCTATCTATCTCAGCCTGTTCGTGTCTATCTATCTATCTATCTATCTATCTATCTATCTATCTGTTCTTATCTATCTATCTATCTCTCTATCTATCAATCTATCTATCTATCGCAATATGTTTCTATCTATGTATCTATCCCAAACTAATCATAGATACATACATACATTGATATTGAGATATATAGACATAAAAAAATCATTGATAGATAGATAGATAGATAGATAGATAGATAGATAGATAGATATGATTAGTTTGGGATATCTATCTATCTCAGTCTGTTCGTATCTATCTATCTATCTATCTCCATATGTTCCTATCTATGTATATATCCCAAACTCATCATAGATACATACATAGATACATAGATATTGAGATAGATAGACATGAAAGTCATAGATAGATAGATAGATAGATAGATAGATAGATAGATAGATAGGTAGATAGATAGATATGATCATTTTGAGATATCTATCTATCTATCTATCTATCTATCTATGTTCGTATCTATCTATCTATCTATCTATCTATCTATCTATCTATCTCAGTCTGTTCGTATCTATCTATCTATCTATTGCAATATGTTTCTATCTATGTATCTATCCCAAACTAATCATAGATACAAACATACATTGATATTGAGATATATAGACATACAAAATCATTGATAGATAGATAGATAGATAGATAGATAGATAGATAGATATGATTAGTTTGAGATATCTATCTATCTCAGTCTGTTCGTATCTATCTATCTATCTATCTATCTATCTATCTATCTATCTATCTCTGTTCGTATCTATCTCTGTTCGTATCTATCTCTGTTCTATCTATCTATCTATCTATCTATCTATCTATGTATATATCCCAAACTCATCATAGATATATACATAGATACATAGATATTGAGATAGATAGACAAGAAAAATCATAGATAGATAGTACACACTCTCACTTGCATAAAATAAAAAACGCGAATACATTTTAGAAAATACAGCCAAGGATACCCGACGTTGCCCGTAGATTTATAATTTCCAATATAACAAAGGAAAATGTTTATTCATGTATTTCTCTGTACATAACTCGACAGATGAAAAACATAAAAACAATCTCAGATCATTCTTAAATATTAATGTTGACGAATCCACTGTTGATGGACGTCATTTCAACAACGAAATGAATCGAAGCTGACAGTTCAATGGGGAAATCCCTGGTTTTAACTGTCATTACCCAAAAAACGAAACTGGTATCGTTTCATCATCACTGATTAGACTGAGTTCTTTCCAATCAATGAATGATTTCATTTTCAATGTGAACACATCGAAAGACCATCGAGTCTCAGTTTCACTCAAAATCTCAAACAAGACTTTTATATTCAATCTATTGCCAAAGGTTCTAGGAAAAAAATGGTCGCTTCATTCAATCACTCCAAGAGATAAGAATTACCTGACTTTTTCTACCATGCTTTATCTTTAGACCAATGATTCACAACGTGGGTCGCATGACCCACC